GATGATTCGCCGGCTGGGTGCCCACGCGCGTTTCGGCTGCTCTCGTTCTGGCCGGCTCACTCAGCGGGGAAGAAATCCCGCCAACCTGCGGTATGTCACAAGATCTGATGGAAACGGACTTTCTCTACAATCGGATACTCAGTCGACTCGCTTTGCGCTGATCAACGCCAGATCGGTTGTAAATAAAACTTTTATTTTAAAGGAATTCTTCCAGGACAATAGCCTGGATGTTTTATGTGCCACTGAATCATGGATCACCCCTGGGGATTCAGCCTCAATAGTTGAACTGTTACCTCCTGGATGCTCCTTCATTAACATTCCAAGAGCACATCGCAGGGGCGGTGGCCTATTCACTATATTCAAATCAGATCTTATCTGCACACCGATTACCCCTCAATCAACTCCATTATCCTTTGAATTGAGCTTATTTGAATTGGGTCGTTCTCCTACATTATTATGTGCTCTCATTTACCGTCCACCACCTTACAATAAGGATTTTCTAAATGAATTTGCAGCTTTTCTGTCTGAAGTCTCCTGTAGATATGGAAAAATACTCTTGCTTGGTGATTTTAATATTAATGTCTGTTGTCTTGACAAACCTTTGGTAAGGGATTTCCTAGATCTCATTGACTCTTTTAGCTTCTCCCAACGTGTTAATGGCCCCACACATGGGCATACACACACACTTGACCTGGTTTTCTGTCATGAGCTGGAAATTTGTGATCTTGGCATTTTACCTACGACTTTTTCAGATCACTCACCAGTTTTGTTTAACTTGAAATTGGACTATGCCCCTCGTATTGAATATTTCCGTCCCAGCTTCTCTCGTGTAATCACACCCAATACTGCTGCAGATTTTGCCTCTGTTCTTACTCTGAACTCAGCTCCATATGATTCTAATATTGCGTCTTCTGTAGTTGAGGGATCACTTCATGTGCTTGATTCATCCTGCCTGGCTGCTATGGATATTGTCGCTCCATTAAAATCAAGTCGAAAGAAATCCAAGTTAGACCCATGGCTGAACGAACAAACTCGTTCCATGAGACGAAATTGCAGGAGACTGGAACGTAAATGGATAAAAGACAGGCTTACTGTATCCTTTGAGGCCATGAGAGAGGCTTGGTCTCAGTATCAAAAAGTAGTCAGAGGAGCGAGAAATCGATTTTTTGCCAGCATTGTCACGGCTAATTCAAACAATCAAGGTGTGTTATATAAAACCATAAATGCAGTGCTTTCCCCAGTTCAAAAACTATTTTCCTCTGTGTCCGCTGACTTGTGTAGCCAAATCCTGCAGTTTTTCTTAAATAAGATTACTGTAATCAGAGCTCAGATTCACCAACCATGTTCCAGATTCATTTATCCCCTCTCACGGGCAACTTCAAAGCTTTCAGCCCATCTCTTTGGCCTGTCTAGAAAAAACTGTTGCAGCCATGAAACCCTCTGGCTCCCCAAATGATGTTATTCCACCTCGACTCCTGAAAGAGGTGTTTCCTTTAATTAGCAATAACGTGCTACGCATTATAAATAGTAGCTTGACATTGGCTGAAGTTCCTCGTGCCTTTAAACACGCTGTTCTACAACCAATCTTGAAAAAACCCGGCCTCGATCCCACCGATTACTCTAATCTACGACCAATTTCCAAATTACCGTTTTTATCTAAGGTCCTTGAGAAAGTAGTCTATGCACAGTTGGTGAACCATCTAAATGAATATCAGGTAATGGACACCTGTCAGTCTGGTTTTAGACAACAGCACAGCACTGAAACTGCTCACGTTCGGGTGTTTAATGACATTTTTCTGGCTTTAGATTCAGGTTTCCATGTGGTTCTGGTACTTTTGGATCTATCTGCAGCATTCGACACGATCGATCATGACATTTTGATCACAAGACTTCACACTTGGGCTGGCATTTCAGGCACTGCCCTGGATTGGTTTAGGTCATACTTTTGTAACAGGTCTGCTAGGGTCATGTTGGACGGCTGTTCATCCGAGTCACAGCCTCTACGTTGGGGTGTCCCACAAGGTTCAATTCTCGGCCCGTTACTGTTCAACCTCTATATACTGCCCTTAAGAGCCATTTTCAGAAAGCACGCTGTCTCATACCATCTTTACGCTGACGACTGTCAAATCTACTTTTCATTTAAGCCAACTCAGTCAACGAAAGTTCTGTCTGATTGTATCCTTGAGGTCAAGCAATGGCTAGCTGACAACTTCCTCCATCTCAATGACTCCAAAACTGACTTAATCGTTTTCAGTCCTAACAGTATCACGGCAACTCAACAACCTGACATCAACTATCTCTCACCTAATGTATCCTCTGTAATCTCCAACCTTGGAGTAAAAATGGACCAGGCTCTGAAGATGGATACCCAGGTCAATAACACAGGTAAAACATGTTTTTACCAACTAAGACGCATCTCAAAACTAAAGCACATCCTGAGTGTACGTCTTCTGAAATCGGTGGTCCACACTTTTATCACCTCAAGGCTGGATTACTCCAACTCCTGCTTATACAGCATCAGTAAAGCAGCTCTCTCTAGACTTCAGCTGGTCCAGAATTCAGCAGCTAGGTTGCTGACTGGAGCTGACAGAAGACAACACATTTCTCCAATTCTGAAATCTCTCCACTGGTTGCCCGTGCAGTTCAGGATAAACTTCAAAATTATGCTTCTCACTTACAAATCATTGAACCATCAAGCTCCTCCATATCTGTGTGAACTTGTCCATTACTACAACCTGCCGCGTGCTCTCAGGTCTGAAGATAAGCTCCTCCTAGCTGTTCCCAATGCACGTTTAAAAAGCCGTGGAGAGAGGGCTTTCTCTGTCTGTGCACCGAAGCTGTGGAACGCATTACCACTGCTAGTGAGGCTAGCACCAACAGCTAGCATTTTTAAATCACGCCTGAAAACTCACTACTTCAACCTAGCTTATACAACATAATTATGAACCTCACTGACATCTGCACTGTTAATAGACTGACTCCACAATTATCGACTTCCGTATTATTGAGGTTCTTTGTAAAATGTTTTTTTTTCCTAATTTTACTTCACCCTGTGTCTTAATGATTTTTAGCTGTTATTTTTGGGAATTTTGTTGTATTTCCTTTTTATCTTTTATCTGTGTTCGACATGTTTATATAACGCCTGTTTAATTAACCAACATTTTTAGTGTACAGCGCCTTGTTTGGTTGTAATGCCTTGTGAATGCGCTTTATAAATAAAATTGGAATTGGAATTGGAACTAACCAACCATAGATAACTTCTTTGGATCTAAAATAAACATTTTAAATTAGCTGACTTACTTGAAAATTGTCCCCGAAGTAGCTGCTGGCTTCTGATCCACCGTCTATTTGAAAATACCACCGTGTATTCTGGGTAATTTTTGACCAATGCCAGGCTACAAGACACCTCCCGTGTATCCTTGCTCAGCTAGCTAAACGGGTAACAAACGGGGAACACACGCCTCGGTAGAACATGAACGTTGGAGCTCGTCTTGGCTGCTCCCGATGACATATCTCCTAGGCAAATGGGGCGGGGCCAAGACAAGGTTCCTTGGCCTTGACAAACACCCCTGGACTCATTTTCACACAAAACCTAAAATATCGTTTCTCCCCGTTCAGAAATAAGCGCGTTCTTGGTATCAAAATGTGTCTTTAAAATTCACGGACATCTTATGTGAAATCCATGGCTTATCACAAGTAGAATTAGAAAATAGCGTAATTCAGATGCTGATCAGTTAATCAATACATCTGATCAGCAACACCTGGATGAGACTGAATCCTGAATGCCAAGGAGGCACTATTTAATGTTTCATCTCCGTTTGATCAATGGTAACAAGGAAGGATCTTGTTTTATTTTCTACTAGAACAATGTGTGTGTGTGCGCGCGCGTGTGTGTGTGCGTGTGTTTCCCTGTGTTCTAGCATAACTGGGAGCAGCTTGGAGGCCAATGACTCATCTAGAGTGCCTTGAATAAGTACCTTGAAAAGCAATAAATAATAAAGGAAAGAAAAGCAGGGGAATTAGATAAAGTGAGTCAGTTCTGCCTGACACATCTTTTTATATTTGCTGCTGCCCTTTTCAAGTCAGCTTAAAATCAAGCTGCCAGTGCTGGAGTCACAGCTGACTTTGGAGAACTGTTTCATCTAAGAAAACAGTCAGCCCGGACACAAACTGCTCTTTCTACTTCATTTAAAGTGTTTTTTTAATTACAAATGGTCTTGCCATACTCAGATGATCAACTAGTTGTTGTCTCTGACGTGAGGTATGACTCCAAAGTTAGGTCAGTCTTGTTCTGTAGCACACGTTTGGAATAAGGACATTTAGACACTGTCAGAGTTAAAATGAAGTTTTTGTAGCGTCCCAGCCTTAGCTGTCACTGTCTCAAGGTAATCTAAAGCACTTTCACAAGACAGGTACGCTTGATTTAAGGTGGTTTTCCATGAGCACTACTCAGTAACTCAGACTGATGCAGCTCGGCCTGACCCCTGTTCCCAAGGGCACGGTTCGGTACTTACCCTCCACTTCCACTAGCACTTCTTAAAAAAATGAGTCTTGACGCCTCTCTCCATAGCAGCTTCAGACCCATCTCTAAACTTCCGTTCATCTCCAAGATCTTGGAAAAGGTTGTGGCTAAACAGCTCACAGCTGCTCTTGATGAACATAACATCGATGAAAGCTTCCAGTCAGGTTTTTGTAGCGCTCATTCTACTGAAACCACTCTTCTCGTACCTCAGTTCCACTTGTACCTGCTTGACACCACTCTAATCTTTGCGATATGATTGTGCTTCCACTAGCACCAAGTTCAGCGCTAGCTCACATTTTCAGAACCATTCTCTGAGGAGTTCCGTTCACTCCGAGTAGGCACCATGATGCATATTCAAAGGGCTGTTGATCGCATGGCTAGGGGGTGGAGTCACTGGTCTCACAGTTACCAGCGAACAAGCAAACAATGTGGTAGCAAATAAAAAATTCTAATAAAGCGCTGTTACCGATCGATAAAGGACCACGACAGAAGGGAAGGAGCGGGTCAGACCGACTGAAGCTGAAAGTGGAGCACATGGAGGTGCTGTAGGACACAGAGCAGCAGCAGCATCCTGGGACTCCACTAAGGATGATGGTGAGTGTTTTGTGACTTTAATTTTGTTTGAAGTTACTAATCCCATCAGTGGAGGTATATTTTTGACCAAACACAAAAGGCTGATCCCACTGTGTTTCCCACAAAGACTAAAGCTAACTAGCATCAATGCTATCAAATCTATGTTTGTATTTTCCACTCTGCTCTGTGTGTGACCTTCAGCTGTGGGTTTCTTTGTTCCAGATTATCTCCAGACATGCAAGGAGTGTTCAGATACTCAGTATTTATAACAACCGAGCTCCCCGGACTCGCCCCCGCTGTCCGAAGCCTGCACCAGCCGACCTGTAGCAGCAGCAGAACCTCCAGGCTGTGGGCCAGGGCCTCAGCACCACGCTGCAGCCTGCTGTCGTCGGTAAGGAGGTCTTCGGAGGTGTTAAGATGGGTGAAAGCTGCTAAAAGCTTTCCTAAATATTCTAATAACAAAGTAAAAGAGGTTTCTTATAAAACTTCTAATTTATCAAATAAATATTGGAAAGATTCCAGTAAAACATGATGAAACGTGTCTTCTGCTGATCAAACTCATTTTTTGACAGTTTTTCATTTGTTCTTTGTTTTCACACAAACTAAACTGGTAAACTCTAGAAGGTCTGGTGTTAAAACCCAGCCTGATTAGTGTGATCAGTTACATCTTGTGAGGAACAGAAGGTCTGCTCACCATTACTGTTCAGCTGGATAAACTCTATGTTCACTAATGTAAGTGCACTGGCTCTGAGCCATGCTTCTGAGCTTCTACTATTGAGCTAAACTGTAGCTGTGTTAGTAAAACTACAAACCACTAAAGCTCAAGAACTACAAACATGGTGGAACATCTTTGGTATGTTCTTGCTGCGTTGATTTTCTAACTACATTGTTGGTTCTTATTTAAAACACAGAAAAACTTGCAGCTGCGAACGAAACTGTCAGCAGCAAGGTAAAAATAAACCTTTTCTGTGTTTTAAATAAGAACCAACAATGCATGATAGAACATCAGCACAAGTTATGGTTGTAATCAAATGGAAATGAGCACGCTCACCCTGCCAGTCCTGTTCCAGCAGCCCTTGATGCTCAGTCTTATATTTTCATGTTCATTTAAAAGTAATACTGATCCTCTCCCCACTGAACAACGAAGCACTTCCTCCTGTTACAGCACATGCATTTGTTTCATTTACTATTTTCTGTGCTGTTCTAAATAGGATGCTCCTGGAAGTCCCTAAAACCAGACATAAGCTCAGAGGTGACGGGGCTTTCTCTGTAGCAGCCTCTAGGCTCTGGGATGTGCTGCCTTTGAGCGTTCGGTCAACCTGTTCACCGTCTGGTTTTAAATCTCTTTTGAAAACCTGTTTTATGATGTGGCTTTTAACTCAGCATGAGAGTCTTTTAATGTTTGTTCTTAAGCTTTCGCCTTTATGCATATTTATGCTGAGTATTGTTTTTAATGTTTTCATTGTCTGTGAAGCACTTTGGTCGGTTTTATACCATTGTAAGATGCTATAAAAATAAAGTTGCCGTGCCTAAATTTTAGGGGTGTGCTGGTACGCCTGACATCCCGGTTCGGTACATACCTTGGCTTAATATTACGGTTCGGCAAGTTTTCGGTACAGTAAAAAATAGATAAAGCATTTTTTTGACGAATACGAGCGTGATACGAGTAAAACTCATAAATATCTGTAATCGTGCTGAAGGAAAATCCTCATTGGGTAACTGACTTTCTTCACGCTCTGTGATTGGCCAGTCACATAGAGCGCCCGCCCCTCCCTACACACAAAACTGCAGCCGGCCGGGAGCGCAGTCCGTCCGGCCCATCCACGCACACACACAGACAGTAACGGATCTCGCTGTGATTGCTTCACTGTTGCTCACGTTTCTTCAGTAGTCCCTAGGTTTTCTTCAGCTCTCCTCTTTTTCGGTTGAATATTTAAAGTTACTTCTTTCGTAACGTACGTGGTGCATTTGACAAGACAGAGCTGACGTGCTGTGTCAGTCACTACCTCCGCTCCGGTCGGGTTTTTTATTTTTTTTAACTCCCTCTCTCTCCCTCTCTACCTCTCTCCCTCTCTATCACACACACACACACACACACACACACACACACACACACACACACACACACACACACACACACACACACACCTTAATCAACATTGTTTTGTTTAACTTTGTGTGGGAAAAGGCCAAGAACTGATTTTTTTATCAGTTTAATCAAAAAATTAAAATAAAAAAAATATATATATAAAGTTGTGTCTGGTTCTAGTATTTCATATTTCCTAGTTCCTACTGCATGAGTTCAGATGTATTAATCCATGCACTCAAATATTAATGTTCTGATTTTATTGAAAAACTTGTTCTGTAATAGTTTATTTACTATTGTGATCAAAAATATTTAATCTCAATTCTGAGGCTGCTCTGTAAATAGTTTTCAAATAAACAACACACATAGCAACTTCTGATCAATCCATATCAATTTCAGACTTAAAATAATACATTGATGTAAACCACACTCACTTCCGGTTAAACAACGCCCACTTCCGTTTTATGCCACGCCCATTCCGAGTACGGATACAGATAATTTAGTTGGTTGAACAGATACAGATAGCGGTGTACTCGCTCATCCCTAGTAAAAAATAAAAAAATAAAAACGATTTTCTTTTGTGTAAACAGTAAATTCTTTATTTACATTTAAGTTGAACATTTACTTGCATTACATTCTGCAAGATATTCCCAGTAAATGAAAATTAACATATATAATGTTTAACATAAAAATATATACTGGTTTCAATATTTTATTATTGGAAAAATGCAGCATCAACATTTGACTTGCTCTTTACAAATAAACAAAGTGCAACTAAAAGTGGCTTAACTACTGAAATAAAGAATTATTTTGTGCAGACAAGCAAAACTTTAAGAATTTAGAAAGTGCAACTATCCTTATAATCTCTTGTAAACTCTTTAACATTTAGTCTGAGAAAAAATAAGATAAAAAAATAAATATATGCAAGTTTAAATATTTATTTAGGAATCTGCAAGATGATTATTGTGCTGTTTTTTTTGAAGAACTTAAAGTGTAAATGAAGGAACAAATGGAATTATTCAGATTGAAATAGGTTAACAAAAACATTCTGCAACATTAGGAGTTCCAGCTTGTTGCCTTTTTAGGTTCACTCAACCTTCATGTTTTTTGCCAGAAATTAGTCCACATTGTCTGCAGAAAGGGCAGATCTGTTGACTGTTACGATAACTCCAGCAGTAGAAAAAACCCTCTCGCTGGGGACAGAGGACGCTGGTATGGCAAGGTAACATTTTGCTAGCTTGGCAATGTGGGGATGCATGTGTTCATTGCTACATATCTCACCGGAAAGCTGTAGTGTTCCCAAACAGGAGACTTTAATGACAACGGTGGATATTGGAGCTCTTCCTCTCCCAAGTTTGCTAAAACTTCTGTGGCGCTCCACTATGTGTTTAGTTAGCATGCTGTAGGTTAATGTGCAATGCAATTAGAGTAGAAACTCGGTACGAAAGTGCGTACCGGACCGACAGGGGCATACCGACACATTCGAATACACAGGGGCGTACCAGCCCACCTCTACTAAATGTAGTTACCAATTTCCCATTTCTTCTTCCTTCTGTGTAGGGAGAAGGAAGAAGAAGACCCGCCAGGAGGACCAACACATCCTCCTCCTTTTATGTTTAATCAGAGCAGGCGAGGGGTCATGAAGCAGCCCAGAGATGGAGCAGGACGCTGCTTGCAGTTGGTCCTCGGCTGCTCTGCTGGTAGATTTAGTGCATGTATTTATTTTCATCAGTGAACAAAAACCAAATCAAAGTATTTGATGTGACAACCCTCTGCCTCCTAAACAGCATCAACTCTTCTAGGTGCACCGTTGTTGAGGAAAACACCTCCATGATGTTGAGATCAGGGCTCTGTGGAGACCAGACCATCACTTCTGGTTCTTCTTTACAATGAAGATGGTTCTAATGATTTGGCTGGATGTTTAAAGTCATTTTGTGAATTAATGAAAATAAACAATGTTTAATTTCTGAAAACATTCTTTAACAGCATTTTTTTCACAACTGCCTAAAAAGTTTGTGTTTACTTACACACACACACACACACACACACACACACACACACACACACACACACACACACACACACACACACACACACACACACACACACACACAGCAGCATGGCTGTATGTTGATTTATCATGTCTAATGACCATACCGCATAAAGTGGTTCGTAGATTTATTTTGACAGGAAATATCAAAACAGGAGCCATAAACCCCCCATCATTTATTTATTTGTAGAGCACCATTTTACCACCAGTCAAAGTAAACACTCAAACCAAAAGGATAAAAACATAATAAAACAGGTTAAAATAAATAAATCCATGAGATCAAGATAAAATAACATAAAAGAAAAAGACAACGTGTTAAAAAGTCGTCCGATTAAAAAAAATTGGAGTCAAACATAAAAGCAACGGCCTGAGTAAACCTGGTGACAGCTCGGAAACGCAGAACCGACTTGGATTTAAATGTCTAACGCCTGATGTCAGGTGGACATTGGTTTCAGAGTTTAGGTCCAATCACAGAAAATGCCTGGTCCCCGTGGGATTTCTTTCTCGTTCTTCGCACAACCAAAAGTTCGTGTGAAGGCGGGGTTCTGGCTGGAGTATGTAGAAACCAGGTGCTGTGCCTGACAGAGACTTAAAGACAAGGAGCAGTAGTTCTATGTAGATCCTGTTCCGGACAGGAAGCCATCTCAGTGACGCCAACACCGGGGTTATCTGATCCCATTTTTTGATGCCATCAGCTTACCATCATCCTGTCTCTCCAGTGGTTGTCTTTCTGCCTGCAGCCTTTGCCTAGCTTGTTCTCTTCACAGGCTCTTTGCACCTGAGTGACCAGAAAGTTTCACTTTGCTCCTGGAGGAGTCATGGTGTCCACCTTTGTTATTGTTTACATGTCTGAGTCGCCTACAGAACAGGGGTCTCATTTATCAAACATTGCGTAGAATCCTTACTAAAACCGTACTTAAGCTCAGCAACAAAATGTACTTACGCCAGGTAGGTTTCTGATCTATCAAACATGGGGTACACACAGCTGCACGCAATCTCCGCTTCATGAATCAGAAACTATCTAGAAAGGTTCTCAGCTGCTTTTTAGTCCCATCCCGCCCTCACCACGCCCACTTACTGCCATAAATAGTCAATGCAAAGTGCTTTGTGGATCTCATGCATATACATATGCCGGCTGTTGCAGCACTCCGCCAATGACATGGCGACCGTAGATAAAGGCAGATCAAGGAAGCACTATTTCACAAGCAGAAGTTGAGGTACTTGTGGGTGAGGCGGAGAAATGAAAGGAAGTGCT